ATATATATATATATATATATATATATATATATATATATATATATAATCCATATTTACAATATTAGAAGTTTGATTTATTAGAAAAAACAATATACTTTTTTCAGAAACAACAGTCAGTATTTCGAGTATGCAATATAAAATTAGACAGTAAATTTTTTAATTAAAAAAAAAGTTAAGTAATTTTTATTTTATTTTATACAAGTACAATTTTCAAGAATTGAATTTATTGACAACAAAATAGCATTATATCAATATCTTACGATTTGAAAATAAAAAAAAGAAAATATATCTATGTGCAGAGAATTTTTGAGTCGCAGAATAACATTGATTGTTCTTATTTTCACATGTCACAATGTCATTTTGAAACAACTTGTCATAATTTTATCATGTACAGTCATTTCATAACAACATTCTCATATTATTATTAACGAAGAAAAGAATCAGTTAATAAATCAATATCATAATATCACATTGTTATAGCAGCCAAATCACTTCTCCTAGAAAATCCCAGTTGTAATAGTAAAAATATGGCATGTCTTTAATCAAGTCAAGAGTGGATTAATTAAATGTCTGACTGCAAGTTTTAACAGTCTACTTCAGATTATATAAATATTTTTCATTAGAAGTATTTTCAAAAGCGTATGCTGAAAGGCTTATTGAAAGTTATTTAGAAAAACTAAGCGATTTAACTTTTAAACATATTATTTTCAATATATTTTAATGTTGCCGCTTATAATTAAAAGACAACAAAATCATTAAAGTGCAGAAAATTTTTAAATAGATAATCATATTAAGGTAATATACTTTTCTGTGTACCTCTATATAGGTATATGTAATATATACATTATATTACAGATATCATCATGAACAAAGGTATTTCGTGCTAGTCGACTCCAGCAAAACCTTGAGAACCTTCAATTGCTTTAACTAGCTTATCCCTGAGTTGTTGATAACTTTTATACGGAGGAAGGTCAATACGATTAAAACTGAAACAATAATTTATACTATTGTATGACAAACGTGTATACAAAAAATTATTTCAATAATAATGAAATAAGCTAAGCTGATAAATAACCATATTTTATAATTCCTTTTTTTAAGTATACAATATATAAAATAGATAAAATATATATATAGTTTGGAGTAAATTAGAAACTTTAGCAAATAAATTACTTTCATAAAATAAAAACTCACCAAGTATGAGCTCTTGGATAATTCTCTGGTGTACCCCACCTTTCAATTGTGAATAATTGCGGTCCATTACTGCCATAAAGTTCTTTGAATCCATTCATTGGAACACGTGATGTGCCAGTTACAAACTGTAATAATCTAGAACGCATTTCATTGCTAAATGACAAAACGACTCTCCAGAACCATTGCACAACAATGTGGTTTGCATGATAGTCTCCTTTATACAAAGTATTTTGTTTCCAGTCTTTCACATCAATATGCTGTATGCCACACATTAACAATTCCAGTTCATGTTCATCGAATATTTTTACCAATGTTGGTGGTATAAGAGCGTTGAACCCTTCTAAGAAGGCATTCATTTGTTCCTGCACGCGAGATACAAATCGCCATTGTATAACTAAACTTATATATTCGTCTTTATTTTCATCGGTCAAAGGAATATTAGCACCATCTGGCTTTAAGTCTCTTTGGGAAGTATGACCAAAGCTTTCTTCGTCGAGACTGAAAGTGAGTTCTAATTCACTAGGATCATTCTCTTTAATCCATAAAAGAGAGTTGTAATATTCAGAATCGACGCTCTCCATATCCTTCAGATCAATTGATTTACCCAACATCATTTTATAAAATGGTCGAATAAAGAAAGCTAAAAAATAAAATTTATTTAATAACAGTTATTTCATCATATATGTTAATATTATAATTATTACAAATTTTACTATATATTAAGACCTACCATCCAAAAGTTTACCGTGATAAACCGCCATTCCTGCTATACGTCCGATAAATTTAAAGTAATTCAAATGCTCTTCGTTACATACACCAGAACAAGGATTAATTTGCAGTGTATAGTTATCACTAAAAATAAAAAAATTATATCATTTTTGTTCCATAATATAATCATACATTACAAGCATTAAGATATAATTTTTATACTCACGTTGCAGAATACTCAAAAAGTCCATAGTATGGATTAAACATTTCCTTAGACAATAAGAAGAACCATTCTCTTGCAAGGCCACCATAATCTAAGCCTACTTCTCCTTCAAATTCTACCCATAATTTCGTTTTTAGAATATCAACTCTGTTAACAGAGCTTATAATACGGTACGAATCTTCCAAAATATTATTCCGTCCAACTTTTATCTCAAACTTATTAGGAACATTATTCTGTAATAAGATATATAGATATAATGATCATATCTACGTCAAAGGTGATTTAATAAATGATGACCATCTACATACAGGCTTTCTCAGTTGTGATTTCAGATACTCATATTTACGCTTATAGTCTCTTGAATATGGTACAGCCTGAAAACGCATTACAGTCTACAAATTATTTCTAATTCTAAATCTAATTGTAAATCTAAATCTGAATGTATGTGTGTGTGTGTGTGTACACACACACAATTTTCCTAATAAAAAGATTCATATAAAACATTTGTAATCATACCGGGCCAGCAATTTGAGGATTAGACATACGCGGATCTTCCCATTGTGTTGTTCTTGTATCTATAACAAAAAAGATAAATAGATATCCAGATATATTATTATAATTTAAAACTTTAATGTATGGAAAATTATGCACATACTGTGATCTATAAAAAAGATTCGTCCATCAGTGTGTACTCTTTCCTCCCATCCTTCTGGAAGCGGTCCTAATTGATCTAAATCACCTCTCGATGTCGTTGATGGTGCAGTATGATTAGGTATAGAACTCGGTCTTCCCGTTCTAGGATCAATCCAAGTTGTCGCCCTCTCATTGTGATCAATAAAAAATATTCTACCATTAGGTGCTACTTGCATGCCCCAACCAGGAGGTAATCCTTCATCATTAGATACGGGAAGAGTAGGTTTGGGACTTTCAATCTAAAATTTTTATGATAAAAGAAGAAAATATATTAGATAATAATATAAATGATATTTAATAGAATCCATAATTAAACATACCTGCTCCGATGAACGTCTCGAACCAGCTGGACTATCGATATTATCATCAGTCTGTAAATATAACATAAAAATATTTATATATTACAATTGAATAAAATAAAATATGTAAATACAAAATGAGAATGATATGTGTATTTATTAATATAATAAGCTAGTGCATATATTACACAATTTCAAAAGAATATATTGTTAAATATAAGATTTTTTTTTACTTTAAAGCATATTTTTATCTATATTATTTATAATAATTTAGGTTACATTTTTTATTTATATTATTTATAATAAGTATACAACACGAAAGATTTACGCTAAATTTTGTACACATAAAGAAATTTTCAAAATAAAAAGTTCTAAGTAGAGCATGCTATATAGATATTAAATTGTAAAGCGGTAGTACATAAAATAAATCAAAAATACATTTTAAGAAATGAAGAATAATAATGCCAACAAACATCATTACACCAAAAAAAAAGAGAAAATCTAAGTTTGTAAGTTCTACCTGATGCTATAACTGGAACTTTCTAGTATAAATACATATTTTTATATACTTTTATATACTCTATTCAATAATATATTTTTAAGCTATATAACAGTTATAAAGAAACTAGAATACACATGTCTATATCTCTAGTCTCACATGTCTATAATGCATAACTAGTCTATATAACTTAGCTTTATCAGAGTTGAATCAAATGAAATTGATGCATGAAATAAAACTTACATATGCTAATTTTCACTTTACAACAAACACACAAATATACACGTATTAAGCGTTACATTCAACTAAAGGTGAACATAACAACTTTATGTATATTAATACCTGTTCTTCAGATTCACTAAGGTAGCCACGTTGATCGACAGAACGTCCGGAGTCTGAAGAAGTATCCCCAATACCCCCTCCCCTATGATCCCCACCCTCACAATCTCTTGCTTCCGAATCTTCATCGTCCTCGCGTAGAACTTCACCATCCTTACACACACATGCACAAATTTCTACATACTGCATGCTAATCATACGAATTGTATGAATAGATATGCTAATTCCAGAATTGTAATACATACGCGTTTAAAAATGTTGTTTAACCATTTAAGAACATATTAAGAATAAAAAGCTATTTTGTGTTTCGTGATAATTAAATCTTATTAATGTCTAACACTAAATTGCCAATATTATATACCACCTATAAATTGATCAGAATATAATACTATTTTACTACATTTACTAAACACATTCTTACATAGAGAAAAATATGCAAGAACAAACATGTTTATACAAACTATGTTGCATGTATCCAAATCCATTATTGAAATAAATGTTGGGAAAAATCTAAGAAAATTCTTGCTAACATTTGTAAAGAAACATCTCAAACATATAATAAAATAATTTTATAAAGTTCAAGTTAATATACAATTAATAATGTGCCTGTATTCTTTTTACAAATGTACCACTAAATCGGATATACAGCATATTTACAATGATTGTTTCAATATATATTAAAATTTTTGTGCGTGTGTGTGTATGAACATATATCTTACGTGAAATATCAATAAATAAATAAAGAAAACATAGTAATGCCTACCAGCATGGAGATTTGAAAGCAGAGAATATTATTACGTAACTTTAACTTTTGAAAGATATACGGAAAGATATCATTCTTTAGAAATGTAATTAAAAGGTATCTTTTTATATTTATCATAAAGATAAATAAATCTAATAAATTTGCAAATTTTCTAAAACAAATAGATATAATATATAATATCAATAACACGGAGCAATAATGTAAATAGCTATTCAAGACACAACATGATTATAAAGTAGATTTAATTTTAATAACTCAATGTGTTTCCTACCTATATGTTTAAAAAATTAGTATATAAGTATAATTTGCAGTCTAATTCTTTATATATGTTGTTTATGTAAGGTATGTATAGTTTTTTTAATGCAAAAGTAGCATCTTAAAATTTTAATAAAAAACACTGTTGAACTTACTTGATTTACTACCGAGTTCCTGTGTCTACCTTCATCATCAGCACTAATGTGAAACCGTCGTTGAAACTCAGTAGCTGCTGTATCCAAATTACGTTGTTCAACAATTCCACTTGGTGCTGTTGTATCTCTGTTACAATAAGATAACATTTTGAAATATAGATATTATATTTTTTGAACGCGCGTATCAAATATCTATATATTGAATAAATGCTGTCACGTACGGTTCTGGTCGTTCCCATTGTGTGAAACGCGCTATATGATTAACATAGTATGTCCGACCATTTGCATCCTGTCTTTCTTCCCATCCCGGTGGTAATGGCCTATTAACCATGGTAATCTGCAAAAGTATTTTAAAGATTCATAAAGTTGTGTAATAAGATTGCATTATTCTTATTTTACAAGTATGCGAAAAATACATTTAATTAGTTTGTTGTACTTAAAAAAATATATAAATTAATATAACAAAGTTAGTATAACAAAAATTCCTCTCTATGCAAACATACATCTGCACTTTGTTCTACTGGACTGTTATTCTCTGGCTGTACTAATTCCCATCCGCCTGAATCAGATACGTCTCCATTGTCATTTTCAATACTAGATGAATCGGAAATGTATGCATGATACAGTTCCAATGTTCCCTTAACTCGTGACCGCTGACTGGAATGATTACTAGCCATATCCTCATAAGTTATTCATTTTGCATTCGCAAATAAAAAAGTACAAAGCAAAAAAATTTCAATAAAACAATATTAATGTAAAGTGTATATACAATTAGATATTTTTTAATTAATATAGTCAAGTCCAAATTATATATACAGCGCATGTTACTGAAAATTTAAGTCAAAGCGACTAAAATAATCGATAATGTATGACTTATTGCTCGTGCTAATTGCTTGAAAGTTATAACATACCAAACTTATATATCGCAATTGGATATAAATAATGTAAATTAAATCAAGATGTGTAGTATAAATTAAGTTGGAAAATATGTAGCATGAAGCAAAATCGTCAAAGATATTTACCTACGAGGGCGAAGTACATAATTCCTAGCAGGAATAGAGCGACCTTCTTGTTCCTTTGGTAAATTAATCAATGTTAACTCAACCATACCAAGAAAATCATCCCTTGTCAATCTGTTTTCATCAAAAACTTGTAAGACCAATTTGTGTTCTACTGGTTTTACCTGCCAAAAAAAATAGTTTATGCTAATAATGCATGTTTACACATAAAACTTGGAAATAACACGAAAAATATCTTAGGAAAAGGCATTTTTCATAATTCTTTTACTTTCTCTTTACTCCACTTACCCTAAATATAAATTCTTCTTCCCAGACAGGATTCAATGTCTTCTTCTTGGTTCTTGTAAGTGCAGAATCCACTGTCTGATCGCCATTTATTGTGTTCAAGTCCACGCGTACATAGGGATCGCTTGCACCAAAAATATCTTTCTTAGCTAGATGATGCCCAGCAATTACTTTTAACCTCAACTTGCTCGTTTCGTCTCTCTAAATAAATAAATCATTCGATCAAACAATCAATTATCAAAATTATGCTCCATTATCGACAGGTATATCCAACATGGCATTAATATGAAATATATATATATTTCAAATAATACTATCAAAAATATAACAAATATCGAAACATAATTGAGATTTACAAATGCCTCTTTCCACAGCTATGTTACAAGCATTAAACATACAAGCGTTACTTTTGTACAGACACTAGAGAAAAATTATCAAACGATATCTCTCCGACTGATTATTATCATAATGGCAGACAAGCCTTTCCTGAATATTGCACTACATTGCACAAGATATGTCGCCAACAATTACATGAAAGTTACTCCAAACGTGTTTATCGCAACAATAATGAACACCGAAATGTAGAATCGATAATTAACACGCCATTTGGGAGACACGTGCGAGCGACGTCGTCGTTAAAATATTGCTACGTTGCAAGTGTAATTTAGGGATTAACATCGAGAACTATCTTTCCGATAGGATTACGATCATCGTCATCGTCATCGGCGTACACACACTGCTGGTCGGGACGCACCACGTATATATCGACCGCGACGATTCGGCCGTGCGGAAGGAAGGAAAAAAATATCCGCCCGTGTGGCAATAAACAGCCGTGCCCCGTAACACACTCGTCGTTCGGTTGCGCCTTTATCAGTCGCCCAGAAAACCCAACCTGTACTTGTCAATCTGTCAAAGTGGTGTTACGTACGGAATCGCCGTCGACTCCGACCGTCGGATTGTAACCGTAAACATGTTCTTCTGCCATTAACGTTACGTGTGCTCGATTGGTACCTAATCGCCGACCGCTCTCTCTTGCTATTTAACGGGCCTCACAGTTTCTTGTGTGCCATCAAGAAACCTATTTTGCGCTAACCCCCCTCCGCGACTATTGCGCGACCGAGAGACGGATGTGACATGCCCGCTTCCGGGTTCAAAGATGGCCAGCTTGCCGTTTAAATATTCAAAGAGCGGCAAACACGCAGACCGATCGCGCTCGCGTGTCTACGCGACAAATAAATATGAAAAATCTCCTGACAAAATTGTTCTTAATCTATTTAAAATCCCTGCTATACAATCTCTCCTCTACGATAGAAATGTTATTTATTTGTGGAGAGGCTCGATATACTGGAAAATATGAAAATTTTGCGAGAAAATTTACAGGCGATAGAGTGCGCACTAGATGCAAAAGTTCCTCGAAATGTACATTTAAACTGTTTAAACACGTTTTATTTATATATTTATTATATTCTAATGTTAATTTAATACTGATACACAGTTTACGTGTGTACATTTTGAATAAAAAATAATATTTGTGTTTATTATTTGAACAAAAAAATTTTTTTAATTTATTACCACAAAATATTATTTTAAAAATGACGTCAACCTACTTCCTCAAAGATTATTGCATTCGGCAAAAAGGGACGATTCTGTGACGATGACAATGATGATGACGACGACGACGACGACGACGACGACGACGACGACGACGACGATGATGATGATGACGACATTGGCGCCACAAACACGTTGCTTATGGAGGTTCGTACGAGTTTCGGCGACGTTGTCAGCATAAGCTTGGTAGAGTTCTGTGGCCGCGACACCGCCGGTGATGAATGAGGCGACGTACCGGCAATGCCGATAACGTTGCGCGGTGGTGTGCCCGCGATGTTGACTCTATCTCAGGATTTTATATGAAATGATTCAATCTTGAAGATAATCAGGTTGACTAGAACAATGGAAATCACGATGAAATAAGATATCTTTACAACTTTTTATGACTTCGTGAATTCGACAACCACAAATTTCAGGCAATTTGCATCTTAAATTTATTTAAGTAAGATTTATCTTAGGAAACTTGTCGTACGCTATCGTAATAGTAACCAAATTTAAACTTTGCGGGAAACTTCAAGAAGAAATCTTAACAAGAGCAAAAGAGATATTTTTTAACATTATTTGTTCTTACAAATATAAATCTATAAGTGCAATGCTACATTAAAAGGTATTTAAGCTCTAAGCCGTAAGAAATTGACCAATCACAATGGAATGTGAGGAGAATACTCGATTGTGATTGGTCAATTTCTTAAAGCTTAGAGCTTATATACCCTTTAAAGCAAGGTTGTAGACCAGCATTGCACTTATAGATTTATATTTGTAAGAATAAATAATGTTAAAAAATATCTCTTTTGCTCTTGTTAAGATTTCTTCTTGAAGTTTCCCACAAAGTTTCAATTTTTTACTATTACGATAGCGTACGACAAGTTCCCTAAGATAAATCTTACTTAAATAAATTTAAGATGCAAATTGCCTGAATATTGTGGTTGTCGAATTCACGAAGTCGTAAAAAGTTGTAAAGATATCTTTCATCGTGATTTTCATTGTTCTAGTCGACCTGATTATCTTCAAGATTGAATCATTTCATAAAATCCTGAGATAAAAGTAAATTTTTGCCGAATGCAATTATCTTTGAGGAAGTAGGTTGACGTCATTTTTCACTAATAAATTTCGAAATAGATAACATATATTTCACATATAAGATGAGTCTAAAATTTGTGACTCGCACTTTATTATGTGATATGAAATTTCAAATATATCTGTGGCATGCGGCTGCATGCAAAAACTCCTTCGTGAGAAAGTTTTAAAATTTTCAAAAGGTTTTCTGTTTTTCTTTTCTTGTCCAATACCGCGTTCGCTCGTAGCACAGAGAGAAATTAGCCGCAGGAATACCAACGTCGACTACGTTCGCACAAAACGATATCTGTAAAGCGGAATTCACAGTTCGATTTTATATTTAAAGCCTTGTGTCCACGATGCTAGAAATTTTACTCCAAAATCTCGGACGGAGAAAGAATTAGCCAATGACATTGGTCATTGGCTAAATTGTTTAAATGTGATTGGTCAATTCTTTCGACGTCCGAAATCTCGGAGTGATCTCCAGCATCGTAAACACAAGCCTAGGCTTAATAAGACACTCTCGAGATGCTATACCATTTCATTGGCTGCAATCCATTTAATATATGCTAAAAATGCTGTGAAGCGTTCTTCTTCTTCTTTCTTCATTAAAAGAAAAAGAATATGCTTCAAAATATTTGAAGTGTGTTAAGTGGACCATAGTCATTAACTGAGTGGAATCTTAAGCCGGTTCTACAATACGTTGCAAACGATGGCAACTACCAGTTGAAAAGTGTTATTTCTGATTGCCGATTGCCAGTTTACTGTCGCCAAAAAAGTTAAAAATTCACCAACTCTCTTTTGACAACCGCAATTGACAAGCGCAACGTGAAAATAACACTTTTCAACTAGCAGTTGCCATCGTTTGCGACGTATTGTAGAACCGGCTTTAAGGTCATCACTTAAGACGTACCACACAAGGCCAAAATTAAAAAGATCCGAAGTATGTAAGATCGAATTATGAATACTGCTCATAGGAGCTGTGCGAATCGAGAAAAATCTGTCACTCTCCCCTTTCCTCTCCTCTCTCTCTCCCTCTCCCCCTTTCTCCTCTCGTTTCCATATATATATATATATATATATATATATATATATCAATATATCTTACAGCAGTTTCCGATACCCGACCGAATTGCGCATTGACTTCTGCCACACGTGATGCGGAACGATGTTGTGCGGTCCATGTGTAGGCGCGTCTTCTGGGCGGAACTGGATCGACGCCAGCATAAATCGGATATGTCAGAGTGCCCGGCATCTTTCGCTCTTCCTTTATGTCCTTCCAGCGTCACTAGTCTCGGACTCATCGACTCTGTTACAGTTTTCTTATTTAAACACGTCGTACTTTAGTTTACTTTAAGCTTCGAACTATGTTGGAGGCAATCTATAATATATGTGCATACTTCACGGCATACGGCATACGTTTCAAAAAGCGCACTTTCATTGTCACGTTTTTAATCTCGTATAAAAATCTACGTTATCTAACTTTATTTCTCTTACACGTATAATTTATAAATGTTTATTTTAAGCTGCATTGATTACGTTTACACATTATTAATTGGGTTTAATAACACATTTGTAGTACTACTATATAACTTCTTAAAATGCATGTTTGTTTACACGAAGAGATGTTATTTTATCCTCCATTCAAAAAAATCTTAAACTTGTTAAAGAAATACAGTAGATATACTTTTCATAATAATGTTATCTTAAATAGGAAATGCAATCACAACAATTTACTTAGGTCCGGTCTACAATAGGTGCTTTCCAGTTAACGACACAAGTCGACACAAGCGTCATTCTGTCTCTTTTCAACATCTAGTGAGCAACAAAGATAGAATGACGCTTGTGTCGAATTGTGTCGTTAACTGGAAAGCACACAATCAGTCGTATGTCGGAGTCGGATGTCGGAACGTAGCCGATGGTCTAATGAGAGAATTTATTTTTCGAAAACGAATTTTAGTCATTGATTCATGTTATTAAATCTCTAACGTATTGTTTATGAATTTGAAGAAAATTTGTTTACATTTTACGCCAAGTAATTGCGTGTTGATGCACGTAAGAATTTCAAATGAAATAATAATACATAGAGATCTTACGAAAAACTTATATAATTATTTAACAATCCATTATTTAAAATCAGATAGCAATCCATTCCATGTGTGCATCTGTTATGTAATAATAATGTAATTTCCAAGTCTACCTACATAATTGCACGAAGTTCCTTCAGGCTGGATACATGAAATACAATTCTGGACCGATAAAAGTCTCCTTATTTTTCATATAAATCGTCTTGTTATTATATATTTATACGGAGAAAAATATATAAATTAATTATAGAAACGGGAATAGCTATATATGTGCTGTTCGTCGAAAAGAAAATTCCGAAGCTAAAACATATCCTAATCTATTTAACAATTGGTTCACTCGTAAGTCACATTGCGGCACCAATTTGTGTACTTGACGTCACGATCTTTGCGGAAAAGGAAACGAGCGTGAACGATCAGAACTCACTTCGTCCTCAGACTCACTTTATCACTAACACGAGGCAAATGCTAAAATTTTAGATAAGACAATATCGTTAATCATCGTCGAGATAACGTTCACCACGACACACGAAAGGCTGCCTATCGTATGGCGATAATTTCGTGTGCGTGTCGCGTTTGTGTACAGACGGACAGGTAATCGTTGTTGCCGTCTCTACCTGCTTCGAGCTGCAGCTTACTTTTAGCAATTTCACGTATGCAAAGTGCACCGCCTAAAACTGGAATTATCGGAATGCACTAAATGCGCTTTGCTATATACATATATCGTTCAGATCTTTTAGCCGTTTTAGCGTACTCCTATGTATATTTTACGTATTTTGTGTGATAATTCTCGATTCATATACATCCCCCCCTGTTCTATCTCTTATCAATTCGCTCGAGATCAATCGAATGCCGTTTTCATTACGTAGAATTTAGCAGAAGTAATACTCGGAAGTCAATGACGTAGCACTTAGCAGTATGACGCATCGGCTACATAATTATCACTTTACGTCATTCATACGACAATTTGTACGTCGATATCTGATAATACTGTCCTAAGGACGCTTTCAATATTTTATTAAATAAACTGCGATTAACTTGATCAGCGATTAATTCAACCAGCAGAGTTCTTCGCAGCAAAATTTCCGATTATACAATTTATCGTCTTTATAATATCTATCTAACTATTGTAACTCATTCTATACTCTATCGTGATTAACCGAAGTTTGGTCGAAAAGTCCTCTAGTTCGATTTATAGACAGTCTTTCTCGTAAACAAAAGCTGCCAGAAAAAATTATCACAGATCGACATCGATCGTATTCGCATATATTAAGCTCGTGCTTTAATTGCTTAGCAGAACTCGCAAACGTAATATGACAGCATATTGACAGCATGACGGCATATCGAATCTCTGTCGAGCGCAGGTTTCCGTTCGCGGTTTCTACCATCAATCTGTCTTGTACCATGTTGCAGATCCGCTTCTACCATCAATCTGCCGTCACATCTTAGATTGACGATTCTCGCTATATTTTTGCCAGTATTCGATCGACGGCATTACGAGAATCTTAATAAACAGCAAGCATTTTGCAAAATCTGTTCTCGATAGTTCTGGTACCAGAACTAAAAAAAAAAACACAGTTTGCTTTGATAAAATATATATTAAATAACGTTATTTAATATATATTTTATCAAAGCGAACTGTGTTTTACAAATACATGATATATATATATATATATATTTTTTTTTTGTAAACATAATAAAACCAAAGTGCATAAAAATATCTGAGAAGTATATAAAGGCTATAAAGGGTCAGACGCAGAATTCCGTGCGTAATATCAGAAATAACTGATTTATTGGTCGTTGTGATTTACATCGATCCGTACGTTTCGGCTCAACTTTGAGCCATCCTCAGTGGTATACATTAAAATAATATATTAAACGTTCTCCGTACCATATTGATGAGCTTACCGATTCTAAGTTTCAGAAACTGTGTTGGAAAAATCACAACAACCAATCAGTTATTTTCTGATATTACGCACAAAGTTCTGCGTCTGACCCTTTATAGCATTTACTTCTCTTATTTTAATTTCGAGAGTCCTCATATATACTATTTTATTGAATAAAAATATCTGTTTCTCTCGATCGCATTATGTTGCATCTTTTATATTAAAAAATTAAATAAAAATACGTAAAGAGAAGAGGTCTAAAGTAGATAGAGTTTATAAAGTCTATCCAAAATATTCGTATATATGCATAAAGCAATCAAATACAAACAAAATAAAAGGTGTTCATGGTTACAGTTTTAAAACTAAATGTACGCAATTATAGTAGTAACTCTGAGAGCCATAATAAGGTACTCGGCGTTTTTATTTTGATCGGTTATATAGGTATATAGTTCACGCTCCTTATTCACTATTCACGGTCGATATATCGATGGTCACGTTTCAGTATTCGCGGATAATCACTACACGTGTTCACAATTGCATTTTGATCATTGCCAATACTATTAGAAGACAGGGTTTCAAAGAATTGGAAAAAAAGACATTAAAGAGTTATTATACAGTCTGCATATAAAGATTTTACAAAAGTTGATTTAAAAGAAATGATTTTGCCAGAGAAAATTAACTCAGTTAATGAAGATTGATGAAGTTACTGCATCGACGTAAAGCTCGAAAAAAACTCCGAATTTAACATGAAAACGCTGACTATAGAAATCAAAAGCTTTCCTACAATTTTTATAAATATTTTTATGAGCAACGATTCCGATTTTTTATGTATATAGCCAACATTCCTATAGAAAGGAATCTTATTTTTAAAAGTAAAAGAGACAATGTATGATTACACGATTTTAAAATTTTAAAAATCTGCAACATGTAAAGCAAACTAAAATAATTAGTAGATTTTTAAGCCAGTTAAAACTAAAATTCATTAAACTCGTATATTAATTATAAACACGTTTTTAGTCCTAATCGCTAATATATGTTCCAATTGTTCCTTATATTTTTAATTTTGCAGGAGTCTTAAAGGCCCCCGCACAATGAAAAATATATAAAGGAATAAGGAACAGATATTGCGATTTTAGGACTAAAGCCCCTTGCACAATAGGCGATAGCGATAGCGATAGCGACAAAGTTGCCGACAAAGCTACAGCTGCAATGTCGCTGTCGCTATCGCTATCGCCTATTGTGCAAGGGGCTTAAACATCAATGAAAAACACAAGCAACAGAAACAGGGAATAACACAGCAGTAGATTTTTAACCTATCGGAAGCCGTGTATCAATGCTATACCAAGTTTATTCACGATTCCTTCTAATCGCTAATATCTGTTCCTTTGTTCCTTATATTTTTCATTGTGCAGAGGGCCTAAGAATCGTCGACTGCGTAGACTAGTATACTATTCCTGACGTATAAAAACTAAAAACGGTAATTATCAACAGTAATTAGTCTTATTGCTTGCGATAAGATACAAGCGCCCTCGCGACAATAAAGCCATACCCAGGGGCTCGATTCTTGAATTCATTCGCAAGATAAACGTGTGCGCAAATTCCATTCTTACGAAAAATCTACAAGTTGATTGACTAAAACCTATGCCATATATACTGTTTACGCGAGCGTGACTTCTGTAATAACTTACGATAATTCCTTCGCGTAAACGGGATTTTGTAGTAACTTACGATAATTTACTCCGCGTAAACGAGTGATATATCGTAAGTTACTACAGAAGTAACGCTCGCGTAAACGTAGTAATAGCCAATCAACTTGCAACTTTTCTGTACAAACAGAATTTGTGCATACGTTTCTTTTGTGAATAAATTCACGAATCGAGACGCAGAACGGATTTTTTTTTTTTTTTTTTTTTTTTTTTTTTTTTT